AAAAAAAAAACATTTTAGAGACAGAGTGAGAAAGGAAGGGTAAGGGCTTAAAGGCAGGAGGCTAAATAAATGATACCAGGAGCTGGAAAATCCCCATCGTGCTTTAAAAGAAAAAATAAGGTCATGAGATGGCACAATAAGAGAAGAGCTGCACTACTGACCAGCAGCAGGGCCAGCATTTAAGAGGTACAGTTTCTTTGTCTAAAAAAGAAAAAAAAAATCAGCTAGGGTCCACCTAATGGGCACACTTGACTGTAGGACGTTCTTTTCCAGAGGGAACTTCTTGGGTCTGCTGTTTCTGACTAGTGCCAGGGCACATCACTACGTTGTTCTTAGGTAACACAACGTAACATTGTGGGGTATTTTGGTTCCTTTTTGTGCGGAAAATGATGTTTCAGAGGAAAAACTCTTGAATTCAATTTTAAATGGTTCCAAAACACAAAATTTTGTTGGGTCACACAGTATGCACGAGTTTACAGGTACGGCTGCATCAAGGCCAAAAGCATTTCTCTCATTTGACATATATGTTATTTAGTTTGTAAGAGTAGACCTCAAGCTACATTAAGGGTATTTTGTAATCAGAAGTACTTGCAAGAAGCATATGCATAATCAAAAGGTACTTCATACTGCTTTCTTCTTAGATCAAGAGCATTCTATCCCACTTGTTTTCTATTTTACTGCTAAGTGCCAGTTTCCGTGTTGGAGACAATTCATCTTATCAAAGTCTCACAGGATAACCTAGTTTCTGCAAAAGCAGAACTCCTGATAAAAAGCAAAATACCAGGACTATCATGTAATCTACCTACATCATTTTACTATTTTATCATTTTGTATTTTCAATATCCTTTCACCTGTTCACCTACACACAGTTATTTTTTTTCTTTAGAATTAAGTTAATACATTACATTTTATTAGCTGGTAGGAACTAAATAACAGAAGAAAAAAATTTTCTGGTGTCAAATACTTTATTAAGAGGCTAACTGAATTAATAACCTGTTATATGAAAAAACAGTGTTCTTCCAAATTTGGGTGCTTGCAGGTTGCTAGAAGCCCAGAACTTTGACACACATGTCTGTACTTTATCTAAAGTCAATTTTATCATCCCAATCTTGTCTTTAAGCTCATTTTAAACAATCTTCCAGTCTAATTAGCATTACCTTCTGGCTCCTTAGTACCATCCTTTTGAATGCTGGCATGGTTAAAACACTCAGGTCTACTTGGTTTAGTATAGTGTGGCAAATGTCAGTTAAATACGAGGGCATATGGCATATAATTACAGAAACATATGGATGCCAGTAGTGATAGTCAACAGTATTTGACTGCAAGACCAAGAAAGTTGGAGAAAGAGCAATAAAAGCCCATCATACATAATCATAAAATGGATATATATAGTTTCTTTACAGCTGAAAGAAGCCTGTACATGTCTGTCCTTCAATGAAGCAAAGCCACCGTGTCTGTACAAGCTGTAGAGTGCAGTCTACGTTATTTTAGCTTCAGACTGGAAGTGTATAAACCCAGATCATTAAGATGAGTGATGCAAGAAATCACTTACCAACGCACATAGCAGATCAACTGCTTCCAGTATCAGTTCTTGGTGGCCAATGCGAGTGACTCCCAGTTCCTCAAGCTCTTGATGAGTGATGTGTAGCAGCTGTTCACCATTGATCTTTTCTCTTTCAAAATTTTTGATGTATTGTTGGAGGCAATCATCAAGGCCTATTTAAAAAAAAGCCAACAGAGCATATTCAGAGAATGGAGACAAACAATCAGAATTCTGTAATTCACAGATACAGGAATTTTTTGGGAATACAAGTAAAATTCCTTGGTCGGATCTATTATGGCAAATGTGCAAGAAAATTATAATTTGCATAGCATAGCACATAGTACTAAAGAGAAAAGTTTATATTACTGATGTTATTTTCAACTTTCTTATGATTTTCTGGAGACCTAAAAAAATTCAGCTTCAATGATTTCATCTAAGAGTAAGTATAACACTTTGACTCTCAATTATTTGTCCTGCAGTGAAGCGAGTAAACCTAAGATCCCTAAAAAGTACTGATATCCAGAAACCACAGAAATAACCAACTTGGACATTGAAGGAAGATAGAGCTTGGAAATATAATAATTTCTGCATGCAGCCTTCTATGAAATACACTGGAAGTTACCAGTATGGTTAAATTCATGAGAAATTAAGAAAAAACCTAAAAAACTAAGAAAACACAATGTATATAAAGAAAAGGAAAGCAATAGGCATATGAACAATATTGTTCTCATTTGTTTGTTTAAAACTTCTCACATATGCAATCTAAACAGAAATAAAGCAAAGGTTAATATTGTCTTCATTTCCTGGATTATTAATGTAAGGAAACAGATAATTCTATCATGTACCTTAGTTTCTTTTTAAAGAAAAATTTGTAGTGATTTTAACATCTTTTGAACCACAAAAGTTCTTTTAAGTAACCAGATGATACAGTTTGGCAGTGATGAACTGAAATACCTTCCTATAAATTAGTACCAGAACGCTAAACAAATTAAACAAGAGGATGGAGGAAGTTCACCAAAAACATATATTACTATCTATTACTCCATTTAGAAGCATACCTCCTTAGACAATATTAAGTGATTTAATTCAATTGAATTAGAACTCCATCTCTGGACACTAAGAATTACAGGAGGACTTGGTCAGAATAACCAAACCATCTGCTGTGAAGCGAAAGCTTGTGGAAGCTGAAGTCAGAAAATGTGAAGTTTAAAACTATCCTGTAGTCAAAAATAGGTGATATTGTTCATGTTGGTCTATTCTCAGGTTTTTAAACAGAATATCTAACAAAGATGTGACACCTTATATTTGGCCTGCTGAATTTTACCCCATTAGGACTCAATTAAGCCAGAATAATTCGGTTCAGACACAAGGACTGGGACTACACAAGAAATAAAATAAAACAATGTATTTGTTTTCTGTTCCATAAATACAAGAGGATATATTGCAGTTTCCTTCAATTAACTTATCTTTCAAAATTACTCAATTATTTACTCTGTAAACTTAGGACTAAAAGTCCCAAATTACATTGTAGTGTTCATTTATCATTTACCAAGTAACATACATAGCTCTATAGTCACTTATACATATATCCCATAAAAGTTAGATTGGTGATATAAAATGTCATACTTTATGTCGTTATTCATAAGTATGAGGTAGTTTGAATTTTGTTTTTTTATTTTTTTGTGGGTTTGTTTGTTTGGTGTGGGTTGGTGGTCCATTCCCCCCCCCCTTCTTTTTTTTTTAAAAAAAAAGCTCAAATCAGAAGTCTAACAAATACCTAAGCCTTTTCTCTGTTCAGGAATGGTCTGCAAACAGGAGACTATCTCTGCATCTGTTCATGGCTTTAAATGATTTAATGAATGATTTTATGTAAGTATATTTCAGTTTGGATTGGTTGAAAACTGGTCACTGCAAGTTCTGCATTTCGTATTTAACATTTGAAATTCAGAGCCATTACACATTTCTGTTCCCTGCTTGCTCAAGAACAATTCTTAGAAAGAATTTCAGAGCAAATTTCCAAACCCATGCGTGCCAGATTTGCTTTTAATGCACATTTGTTAAAACTCAGAAAAAGTCACCGATGAGTGAAACTGATATCAGAAATTAAATTATTTTCAACAAAAGTGAAGCAAATTGATTTAAAAATTTAGTAGCAGAGGCCACAAATAAGTGTTTGTAGTATTCAGAAAGATTTAGAAAATACCAAATGAATGTGACATCCTATGAAAACTGTTTAGCCAGATGTAGTAAATGTGCCTTTGTGCCAGAGAGAATGTATGACAGAAGAGCAAGATGGGAAATCTGTATTATTCATACTGCTCTGCAATAGCTCCCCAGGACATCTTTAGAAGGCGTTTACTTAATGGTGCAAACAGCATGGCAGTTGACAACAGAATACAGAAATATATCATTAAAGGGACCAGGCTGTCGCATAGCATGACAGCATCTAATAAATACACACAAAAAAAGAATTTGTCCATTGCGCTCTGCTTTTCTCTCTCTCTCTCTAGGAGCTAGGTGTTGTACTGCATTGTTCCTTTTCCTGCAACGTAAAGCGTTGTGCTTGAGAAGTCTGAGGTGTTACAAAGCAAGAGTTTAGCCATCAGTAGTTCCATTCTTTATTATCATGGCTATAATTGTTTTTAGCAGGAAAATATCAAAGACACAGTTAGGAAGAGTACAGAATGAAGTCATTTTGACTCACCAAACCAAATGGAATATTTATTTCCTCAAGCCTCTTAGGCCTCATTAGTGGTCTTTATGCAATTTTCTCAATATAATTTCTGTTTACAGATAAAACTTGAATTAGTTAAGATTCATAACCACAAAGTAGTAAGGGACATTAGCTCTGTTTTATATGTAAGTAAATAAAATTAAACCACTATTCCCAAGTTACACAGTGTCAGAGTTAGGCAAGAGACACAGAGGCTTGCCGTTCTGTTTCTGCACATCCTTACTTTTTTTGAGTACAGTTTATAACTAAACGATGTATCCTTCATAGTGCAATAAATTAATTCAAGGAATTAATAATAATAAACATGTATGGCTTATTTTAAAGCTGAGATTTAACATCTATGATGAGAAATCTGCTATGTTGTCTCTTTCCATTTTTAGTTCAAAGAAAGCTTATTCCATCCACACAGACTAGGAAAACTTTTTCCTCTGTTCTTTGAATACAGAAATAAACAAACACCTCTAATATGTTGACTGAAAACTACAATTTTGCAAATAAGAGATGCAGTAAATTGCTTGTAGGCAGAAAAAGGGAGAAAGGGCAGGAAAAGAAAAGGCAGTTAGCTTTAAAATGTTTGTTTTCTGAACTGCACAATCAAGAAAAGGGATCATTAAAACAACAAACCAATACGTTAAAAAACTCTAGCTCTGTAGAGCTAGTTAAAATCCGATTTAAGTATTAACTCGGAGCCAACATTACAAGAGATGCTACATATTGTGGGAAATAAGACTCACTGAGATTAAAATGAATCTTTTCATTGATGTCAACAAACATCAGGTTTGTTTTACATGAAAAGCACAAACATAGTTGCGACGTTACATAAAGATCCATCCCTCCCTTTCTCTCTGGTGTTGGACAGAGATACTGAAAAAGTGACTATAAAATAAATGAAGGAAAAGCACAGGTGGTTGCCTTCTACACAGAAAGTCAAATTATGCAGACAGGGCAGGTCTCACAGGGGAGAGATGTGCTGACGATGACTTTGTCAAGTGCGAGCCATCACAAAAGTAATTTCTCGGTTAAAAAGTCTGTCATTTCCAGTTTTTCATAAATCTCTCTATAAACTACATTTATTTGCTTCTCCTTTTTCATATATTTCAATGGATTTTTGTTACTTATTTTAAATTGTGCTGGTTTTGTAATCTATCCTAAAAATTCCTGATCAAATGATGGGTTTGTTCCTACTACATCATTATTCCCAGTGGAAAATAGACAGCAGCTGGCTAGAACAGCAGAACAGTGGCTGTGAAACGGAGAGGTTACGGGGAGGGCAGACGGGAAAGGTCCCTGCCAGTTCAGCTTGTCACAAACATGACTGCTCTCACAAGGCGATTCTTCTGACAGAGGAGAGTATACAAAATGATATGCTCCATTATAAAAACGTAGCGTTGCTCATTCTGCTTTTAGGGTCTAGGATGAGAGAGAAGGAAAACAGCTCAGTGGAAATGCATTTACTGCTCCCGACTTCCGCAGCTTCACGTCGATGCGAGGAAGCGTGAGAGTCTGCTCACAGCCAGTTTGGCAAAGAAGTCAAACCCGCTTTGATTGAAGGTCTGAGAAAGTATTCAATGCTTTTCCTAATTAAAATAATTTTTTAAATAAAAATTACATAGCAGAATACTAAAGTCACAATTGCACAATGGCTTATATACAAGAGCAGTTTGAGGTATAGATACAAGTGTCAGTGGAATCTGCTGGGTCTAAAGGACAAAACCCAGAAGTCAATGGAATGATGTTGGTCTGTTCAGAAGCATTACACTTTGGTCTGCCAAGAGCAAGTTGGTATTCCTATTCATGTCTCTCATTTGACTAATAAAAGCTATACAACAATCATATCTCTGTTGTTGCAGAAACTGACTTGCAAAAAATCAATAAATCAAAGTGAAATGGGGACAAAATCAATTTTCAAATGTCGTTGTGGTAGATGTTGGAGGAAATCCACTAAAGCTGCTGTGTCCTTCAGTGAAGATAAATGCAAATGGTGACGACGCTTGTTTGTGAGGGCAGATATCTTTTATAATGTGAGCACAGCACACAACAGGAACACGCCTGCACCAGCATCTCAGGAGCGTGAACTGAGTTGCAAGCCACCAGGGTCATCTGATAATTCAAAAGAAAACTGATTGTACTGGAACTAGCTCTGGGTGACAAGGATAAAAAAAAATGAAAGGACAGAAACACTGCAGAGGGAGCAGAAGAGGTAAAAGACAACCAGAAACTGTGCGCCCTTTGAGAGGAAGACTGCTGAAGTAGTTTTGGAACCATAAGGAAAAAAGCTTGTTGTTTGATTCCTGCT